AATTATGGGAGCTAAATTCAAGATCACATTTGGGTGGGACACAGCCAAACCATATCAGTCATCCATCACGAGCTGGCTGGATCCCATGTCTTGCTCTGTCTTGGTCTTCATCGACCAAATTGCAGCAATCAGCACCACGGACAACTCCTTCCTTTTTGAAGCACTCTCTCCTCTCCATGACATCCTCCCAGGTTTGCCTCATTCCACAGTGGCTTTACCTTTATTCTGTCTTTACTGATTGGGCTGACTTTTCTCCTCTGGTAGAGTTTCTGTGTTGGCATCCCTTAGGTCTCAATTTCTATATGTAGGCTCTGCTTACCTAATACATTCTGTAGAATGAATAATCCCAATTTTGTGTGTTGGTGGTAACTTCCTTCATTGAGCTCTGAACTCAGGTAGACAAAGTCCTGCTCAGTGTCACCATATGAGTGTGTAGCATGCGTTTCAAACTAACATGGTTGAAACAGTACTCTTGGATTCTCTAAGTCTTGACCCAAACCTTACGTCTTCTCCTGTTACCCCATTTTAACCTCTTCTTTTTGTTAGATATGAAGTGAGTTCTATTTACTAAAAGAAAATTACAAAGTATCATATGCTTAATATAGAAAATAAGATCCACAAATCTGTAAATAACCATCATCAATGTGTTGGTTTAGATCCTTCCAGGTGCTTTTCTATGCACTTTCACTAAAAAAGTGGTTTCTTATTGGCTATGATTCTTTCAGTTTCAAAACACAGAAGGTTAAGTCAAATTCTTCTAAGTAGAAAATGAATTCACTCCCTCATACAACTGAAAAGCCCAGTGGGTGACACTGCTAATTACAGGGGCTCAAACCAGGTTGGCTCACAACATGACATGGCAATGATGGCCTCTTTCAAGAAGATGGACTGGCTTTAGTTGAAAATCTCCCAGCAAAAGAGAATGCTGTTTTCCTGTAAGCACTAGCAGAAACACCAGGGAGGACTCTCGTTGGTCCAGCAGGATTACAAGCTCACTCCTGAGCTGATCACGGTGGCAGGGGGATACCCCACTTGGTAAAGTGCTTTGCCCCAAACCCCATGCCACCCACGGGACTAGGAAAAGAGGGAGAGGGAGTTCCCTCAAGGAAATGGTGAGCAGACAAAAAAGTCCATCTCAGCAGTCATACCACAATAATATTTCTACACTGTCTCTCTCATTAACCAAGGTATCAGAAATGTCTTTCAGTGTCAATAAGTATACCTTTGGTAACAGCAATTTCAATGATTGAACTGTGGTCAGATATGTGGAAGTTTAATAATGTAACCACTTCTTGCTGATAAACATTTAGGTTGTTTCCAGTTTTCTTTAAGACATTCAATAGCACAGGAATATCCTTTTAATGAAATATTTGCACACACACACATTGAATTCACTATTACCATGCTTAAATATTTTTAAGAAATGGAATCTGAATCAAAAGGCACATGTGTTTAATGCTGTTGGTAAATTTCATTAACTCACATTTCTAAAAATTATGCAAATGTACACTCCTACCAGCAAGATATGCAATTATGGATTCTTTTCATCATATTCATAACAGCAAGGTTTCCTCATCTTCCAATTATGTAATTCACTTGCTTCTTGTTTTTACTTTGAATTCATATGATTAATTGTGAGGAATGATTAATTTTTTATTCCTACTGTCCATGCTATATTCTCCAGCAGTATAGCATAGGCTGCAAGCCAGCTGAAGCTATAATAATAATTAGATAAGGAATGTATATTAGTCTTTTTTCATCCTGCTGATAAAGTCATACCCAAGACAGAAGAAAAAGAGGTTTAATGGACTTACAGTTCCACATAACTGGAGAGGCCTCACAATCGTGGTGGAAAGCAAGGAAGAGCAAGTCATGTCTTACATGGATGGCAGCAGGTAAAGAGAGCAGAGCTTGTGCAGGGGAAATGCTCCTTTTTAAAACCATCAGATCTCATGAGACTTACTCGCTATCATGAGAACAGCACAGGAAAGACCTGCCCCCATGATTCAATTACCTCCTCCTGGGCCCCTCCCACAACATGTGGGAATTCAAGAAGAGATTTAGGTGGGGACACATTCAAACCATATGGGAATGATAATTGTCATTTGCTGAGTATTTACAAAGGGACAAGCATCGTACCTAACCATCACCATTGTCACCTCATTTCCACATGACCTCCTGTTTAACCACTTCCCCAACTTCACCCTCCACCCCCTCATCCTCACACTGCATGGGGTCTCATAGGTCTTTTTCCTGTCAATTATGCTTAGTTTGTTCTTAAGTCATTTGCTTTTCTTGACCCTTCTTTTGGAATAGTCTGCCCTGAGCATCTGCACAGCCACCACCTTGATATTATCCTAATTTCTATTTCATTATCAGTTTCAAAAGGAAGCCTTATTTCATTGCCTAATCTAAAGCAGGCCCTGCCTCCCCTAACCCAGCTGTGTTCCCTCACTTTGTTTCATGGTCTTCTCAGCACTTCTGGCTGTCTGAAATCATCTTGACCATTTATTTGTGTTCTGATTGTCTGTTTCTCCCACTAGAACATTAGTAGGGGCTTGTGTCCTTCTACTCCTAAAAGCCAGAACCTAGAGCCCTTCTTCTTCAGCCCCTGATACATGTCTATCACACAGGTTAGCACATGGATGGATGACCTCAGTTACCTGGCTGGAAAATGAGAAAAGCACAGTATTTGGGCGGGAGTGTACTGTTCCTCCAGGTACAGTCTGTCATGGCTTCCCTTGGCTAGAAAAGGGAAATTCCCCAAACTCTTGTGCTTCCTGGGTAAGGTGATGCCCACCCTGCTTCAGCTCGCCCTCTGTGGGTTGCATGTCCAACCAGTCCCAATGAGATAAACCAGGTACCTCAGTTGGAAATGCAGAAATCACCCATCTTCTGCATCGATCTCCCTGGGAGCCGCAGACAAGAGCTGTTCCCATTTGGCCATCTTGGAAACGACCATCCTTTTTTTTTTTTTTTGAGATGGAGCCTCACTCTGTCACCAGGCTGAAGTGCAGTGGTGTGATCTCATCTCATTTCAAACTTCTATTGAAATAGATTGAAACTTCTATCTCTATTATTCAACCTAATATACCAGATACGCCAACACTCATACCTCTTCATAGAACAAATTGGATAAATGATGAAGTATGGACAAATTAGCCCTGTGTCATTTTCACAAGTAATTGGAACTCAGTAGGTACCCATTACACTGATGACTGAATAAACATGCACTATAAAATATTTACATTAATATGCAAAATATCCTGTAGGGCTTACAGAAGGGATTAATATATTTAGCTATATAAGAAATATGTTAAATTGTTCTGATATGAAAATTTTTGTACGATTCTATTTGTGTTTGTATCAACTTAAGATTTAAATAAAATAGTATAAGAAATATCAACATATTTATGGAAATTTTCCTAGTACATTGCTATTACTTGGTTTTTCTTCCTCTTAGAGAATAAGGGCAAAGTTATATTAATGTTTATTTTCAAGCAAGAAATATATTTTGGCTTCATGTGTATCATAACTCTGTACTTATCACGATGACTCAGTCCAAAGAATGTTCTGATTTATTCAATTTTTCTCCCTAAATAAGTTAGAGTAGTTCATTCAGGAGCAATTAGAGTCTCACTTTTTAAATTGGATCTTAGGAGGGCATAAGACAGTAAGAGAGAAGCATTTTTCTTCTGGTCTTACCTTCAGGAGACAGAAAGCTGTATGGCCTAGGAGAGGAAGGCATGGAGTCGGGGTCCTGGTCCCAGATCAGAGCGGCAATGTGCACATTGTGCTTAACCAAGAGGAATAAGCCTGGCAGCTGAAAGGGGGATGCAGCAGCAGTCATGTTCCTGTCCAAGAAATTGATGTTACTGATTATCAATGGAGTTATTGATGTTCAATTTGTTTGTACAACACTTTCCCCAAGCATGCCCGGATTCTGAGAATCTCCAACCCAGGAATGGGAGAAGGGGTGTGTTAGGGACATAAGTGATTGGCTTCACTTCAAGCCCCTTTGTCCCTTACACCTCTCTACTACTCCAATAAATGCAATGAATTTTACAGTCCTTTTTCCTCTGGGTCTCTCCACCCCTCTCCACTCCTTCTGCTCTCATCACTCCCTGGACTCCTGTTGAATCCCTCTGGGCTTTCCACACCCACTCTAACCTTTCCTGATGCCTTCTTCACACTTCATGCAGAATGATTTTTTAAAATTTTTATGCAAATCTAGTTGCATTATTTCTCTGCTCCAGACATTTCACTGGGTTCGTGTCATGCTTAGAATGATGGTAAAAATCCTTAGCAGGTCTTGTAAGCTTCCAGCAGTCTGCTGCTTCTCCCTGATTCTCCAGTTGTTTCCAACCTGTCCTCCTTCCTGGATTTTCTTGGCATTCAAAGCTGGCCTTCTTTACATCCATCTAACAGAACATCTCTGTTTCTTCTTTGGAGATTTCAACATGCTCCATTCCTCCAAATCTATCCCCAACCCCAAGTTAACTAATATTCATAATAATACATTAAGGTGGTCTTCCTTGAGCACTCAATCAGGAGATGTCTCAGTGTTGTGCATCTTAATAACACTTGGAATGTTCCTCCATAGCCTGTTTCCGTTAACAGCTATTTATCGATGTGATTGCTTGTCTAATGCTTCTCATTCTCTTATTATAGAAGGACCCTGTATTTATCAGTTCTCACACTGCTATAAAGGAGACTGGATAATTTATAAAGAAATGAGGTTGAATTGGCTCACGATTCTGCAGGCTATACAAAAGGCATGGCAGCACCTGTTTGGTTTCTGGGGAGGCCTCTGGAATCTTACAATCATGACCGAAAGCAAAGGGGGAGCCAGCACTTTACATGGCTGGAGCAGGAGGAAGAGAGAGCAAGGAGTGCTACACACTTTTACACAACCAGATCCGATGAAAACTCACTCACCATCACAAGAACAGCACTGAGGAGAAGGTGCTAAACCATTTATGAAGCAACCACCCCCACGATCCAATCACCTCCCACCAGGCCCCACCCCAAATACTGAGAATTATATTTTGACATGAGATTTGGGTGGGGACACAGCTCCAAACCATATCAGACCTAAGGTCCTGACGCACCTCTGGTTCTCACACAGCATCCCAGTCTCCACCAGAGCAATGGGCATCTTGAAGACATTCAGTGACTATTTGTTGAATGATAGAAGGAAATGAATACTTTCCCAAGCTTAATTGTCCAGATGAAAGTGTTCTTTTCCATCAGATATTGTAGATGTGGAAGGAAGGATCAGAATGGACTATGATGAATTATGCAAGCCAGTGCGTCATTCACCCAGTAATAGTGTCCAAGAACACTAAGCATCCAAACACGACTTGAGGCACCCTCGTGGAGCCTGTGGGTTCTTCTGATGCAAAACGCGGTCTTTTCTTTCTGCTTTTAGGGGAAAATGCTTCATGATTCCAAGAACTTTCAATTGTATATTTGATAAAGTCTTCATCCTAGTTAAGTACTAATATTTAGGATTCATAATATTTGCCATTTATAGTTGCAATGACTGCTTTAGCAGGATTTACTGAAATGTCTTGTTAAGTACTTTTCTAAGAAATCTGGCTGCTATGCAACTCTTGGAAATATTGTCAAACTCACACTGTGCATCTACACAGACAGTTGGTATCCCCCAACTGTGTTTACAAAGTAGGCTTTCTAAAAATCAGTTTATTATCACTGTTGTCATAAGGTGGTCAAGGAATTTTCAGTTGTTGTTACTCTTGCTTTTTAAACATTTTGATTCACAATTAAATGAGTGTTTTGACTTCTAACATAACATATATGTCGCTGTTTGCATTACACACAGTCCTGCACTAGTCAATTGCCAAAGCAGAAGCAAAATCATCCAAATATCCTTTGTATTTATTTATCAAGTGAGAATTCACTATTGTCACTAATTTATGTTCCATTTTTAGAATGGATAAGCTGGGGTTGGTGGTCCTTAGTGTTTTCTATCCTGCTTTCAATGCAAATCATCTAAAGAAATAACGCTTGAAAACCACAACTCCTGCTTATCTTTGAGAGGTATTGCTTTCAGAATTATTTAAGGTCTGGCCACCGAGTCATCACTAAATCATCATAACAGATAAACTAATCACATAGACAACATCTGCAGAATTCAATAAGTATGTTGGTGCCTACATTGTCTGCTGCTGTGCAAAGAAGCAGCTAGGGATGAGATCTTGCTCTCTGGAGAAAAGAAAGTAAGAAGGAAAGAAAACAAAACACCATTGAAATGCTGGATCTTACGTACCAAGGAATGTTTGCTATAGTTGAGTCTGGGGTGCTGGTGGGTTATTATGAAGCTTGGAGTTGGCCACAGAACAGCATTCAAGAGAGAAGACCACATATGTGTGTGTCTGCATTTGAATGGGAACTATTAAACTTGCCTGAATCCAAAAGAGGCAATATTCTGGAACATAATTTAAAGCCAATTAATAACAGTAGCAGAAAACCACAATTGTGACTAGATGCTTGCTAAAAACCAGTTGTTCAGCAACCTTGGGCTGTATATGAAGAAAGAACACATGACCAATTATTTCAAAATTTCAAAACTGCTAGGGCTGGGAACATGGGCTCAGTGGAACTCAGGAGTAGGAGCTGAAGCCATGAGGATAGACTGTCCCCGGCTTTGGTTCCCCTTGGCCCTGACCTTGGTGGTGTGGGCATCCAGCACAACTGAGGCCTTCATTCCATTGTGAAGTACAAGCACCTAGCCAGGAACTGGAGATTCTGAAGGGAGGTAACAGGGAAGTTGGGCAGTTTGAGGTTGACCAGCAGAAAAGCAACAAAGTCTGTGGGCTCCAGAGAGCTGCTGCACCACTTCCACCCTCCACCTCTTCTGGAAGAGTTGCTGTCACCCACAGGAAAGGCAGCACTGGGAATTCCCTAGTTCAGCCAAGTGGACACATTACGTAGGCCCACACCAAGGAAGGGAAGACTGGAAACCCTCTCCATGTCTGCATATCGTGGGGCTGCAGGGCCCTTCCACCTGGGGACCCGGCCATGCCTCAGTCAGTGGGTCTAGATCTGTAAGCTGACCCAGACCCAGAAACGATGCAACAATGGGTGAGTTTTTGTGGGAGTGACAACCCCACTCTCCCATCATCCATCTTTCCCATCCGTTTTTTAGAGATTCAGTGCCTGTGCCCACCACCCTGCCCCCTGCCCGCTGTCTCCATCTCTCTGTGCAGGGCAAGGCATCTGGGCTCCACTGTAACCCGCCCCTGCTCACCTGCCCAGCCTCCTGTGGCCAGGGTCCTGTCCTCCCCACTGCCACTAGCAAATCTCATCCCATAACAGTCTCTGCTATTGGCGGCCCTGCTTGACAGAGGAGAGCCGCTGCTGGAAAGCTTAGAGACGGATGGATGCCCATTGCACCAGCACATCTCCTGGCTGTGAAGTGGCATCCCCTCCATCCCTCCACACACACATCAGTCAGTGGACCACGCAGCCACTTACACCATGATCACTGGAGCACACTCACATCCCTCCACCTCTGACCACAGAAATGGTGGTATTTCAGTTTCACACAGCACAGAGCATTGCCTTTTCTGAACCTTGAGCTGCCATCCTAGGAGCAAATCTGCCTCCTGGGTTCTTGCCAGAGGGTTATGTTCTGTATCTCACGACTGCAGGGACGAGCATCTCTAAATAATCCTGAACCTCCCGACCTTTCGATCATGCGCTCCAAAAACCAGAGCCACTCACCTTCCCCATCTCAAGTTGGATATTCTGGCTGCATCATGTGCCTTTGGGATGCTCCTGCACCTCCTTTTCCTTCTTTATCAGGCCCCCCATATTTCTGCTGGATATGTGACATTATCCTCATCAGCCTAGTGGCCAAGAGAAGTGGAGGCTGGACCTGAGGAAGATGCACGGCTCATTGTAGCGAGAGGTGCCACGGTGTCTCCAGGCAAGATACAAGCATCGTTCCTTCTCAGGAAGGGCATCTCCTTTCTCCAGGCTTCAGGGGTTCCTAAGAGTCAGGGGGGTTCACAATTTGCAGGGGCATCTCAGTCACTATACATGGGTATATTGGGCATACAAACCTGCACATACACACAAGTACACACATATATGTACACACACACATCCACACACGTAGACACATATGTGTGTAGACATTTCTTATTCTACATATTTGCAGTTATTAAGTAATCTACATAATGTATGATCTTAAGCATAAACCTTATAAATTATAGTTTATTTGACTCTCTGGGCAGTTCGTCTTCTTAATAGAGTAAATTTACATCAGAAAAGTATTCTGAATCAGAAAAGGTAAAAACTACTTTCTGGCTACGTTTCTGCCTTAGGAATCAAGGCAGAAGGTGAAGGGGAAACAGGCACAGCTGTCACACATCCTAAGTTTCCTACGGCCTCCCCAGTCATGCCTCCTTTACAGCCTGTGGAACTGTGAGTCAATTAAACCTCTTTCTTCATAAATCATCCAGTCTCAGGTATGTCTTTATAGCAGTGTGAGATCAGACTAATACAATCTCCAAGTAGTAATAAAAGCCTAGTTTTAAAAAATAGAGTGCAGGACACAGAAAAGACAGCCAGTGGGACCCAGAGGAGTGACATGAGCCAGACCCGGGCATGCCATGCACCACAGGTGCTCTCACTGAGAAAGGACTGGCAATTTGTGTTTGAGCTCCTGGTACATAATGTTCAGTCTCTGGTGCACACTGAAGGTAACTGCAGGTTGACAGGGCATAGGGTTTCCTCATGAAGGTGGCTCATTCTCACCTAATGCTCTACTTTCCTGCAGTTAAAGGATCCATCTAAATATTTTCATGGATAGACATGACTTTAACAGTTGTGTCCAGTAATAAGGGTAGAGCCTTATTTTAAAGCTTATCTCATTTTAATGTGGACTTTAACAAGAATTCTGTTCAGAGGCCGAGTGAGGTCCCAGGAACCTGGTTTCCACTTGCCTGGTTTCCAGTTCTAGTCCCAAGGATTTCAGATGCATTGTGAGTGAATGTTCTTCTCATCATTCCCACAAATACTTTTATAAACAACTCTTTAGGAAAAAACCCAACTGTGAATTGGCACCTGGGGCACTGTTGACATTTATTGGGGGAACCAGCCCCCAACATTTCAATGTAGGTTATTTTCTATTTTCCCTAAGTGTCGGCCAGTCTGAGCAATAAAGAGAAAGAGTACAAAAGAGAGAAATTGTACAGCTGGGCCTCCGGGGGTGACATCACCTATTGGATAGGTTCCGTGATGCCCCCTGAGCCACAAAACCAGCAAGTTTTTATTAGGGATTTCAAAAGGGGAGTGGGGTACAAACAGGGAGTAAGTCACAAAGATCACATGCTTCAGTGGGCAATAAAAGATCACAAGGGCAGAAGGGCAGAGCAAGATCATAAGGCCAGGGTGAAATTAGAATTACTGATGAGGTTCCATGTCCCACTGGGTACATATTGTCTTGATAAGTATCTTAACAGGAAACAGGGTTCAAGAGCAGACAACCAGTCTGACTACAATTCACCAGGCTGGAATTTCCCAATCCTGGTAAGCCTAAGGGCACTGCAGGAAACGAGGGTGTATTTCATCCCTTATCTTCAACCACGTATGACAGACACTTCCAGAGCAGTCGTTGATAGGCCTAGCCCTGGGAATGCATTACTTCCCCAGGGTTATTCCTTGCTGGGAAAAGAATTCAGCAATATTTCTCTTATTCACTTTCTGCAAGAAGAAAATATGACTCTGTTCTGCCCAGCCCTGCAGGCAGTCAGACCTTATTGTTATCTCCCTTGTTCCCTGAAAATTGCTGTTATCCTCTTCTTTTTTGATATGCCCAGATTTCATATCGTTCAAACACACATTTTACAAACAATTTGTACAGTTAAAGCAATCATCACAGGGTCCTGAGGCGACATACATCCTCAGCTTACGAAGATGATGGGATTAAGAGATTAAAGACAAGACAGGCATAGAAAATTATAAGACTATTGATTGGGGAAGTGATAAATGTCCATGAAATCTTCACAATTTCTGTTCTTGCACAAAAATTTTGTAAGTTGGGGCAAGTCATAGCTAAGAACTTGGTATACCATGTTGTTGCTGTAGACATAACCCCTCTCTTTGTTATAGGGGACTGGAGTTGGGATGCACCCTGTACCCAGAAGATGGATCTCCTCTTTGCTGAGGGAATGAATCCCCACTGGTTCATTGCAAGCTCAAAATGCTCAATAATCACAGAGAAATGCCAGCCACCTCACAGAGGGCTGGCCTGGAGAGGAATGTCAGAGCCCAAGGCTGGCAGAAGAGTGTCCCGAGCATGAGGGGATGGGCATCTGCAAATGGAAAGTCAGAGCTCAGGCAGCGAAGTAAGGCATCCAAGTAGGGTGTGGGCCTGTGCTGGTGCAGTGACAGCATTGGGGGCTGGCTGCATGCAAGAGGATTGAGCATATTAGTAAATATCTTGTGTTAAAAAGAGCGAGTTTGTCAGTGTTGGAAAAGGGAACTGCAAATATGGAAAAGGAGAGACTGGAAAACGTACTGTGGCATTGAGTGGAAATTGAAGTTATTGGTGTGACTTTATTAACTTCAATATAGATAAGCAGACTAGATGATTAGATAGATAGAATGGATGGATAGGTAGGTAGAGAGATTAGATATAGAGAGATGGATGGATGGATGGATTGATAGAGATGGGTGATAGATAGAAAGAAATAGATGATAGATAGATAGATAGATAGATAGATAGATAGGCATGTGTATGTATATATTACACTCATATGTATATTCCCTAGTTCTGTCTACTGGAAGGGAAACCCCAATGGCCTTAAACTCACCAAATAAATCATGGCTTCTGACTTATGTTCTCCATGACAATAAACCAAACTTCCTTGCAGAAATGGCTAATTTTGAGGTTGTAACAGAAAGTGCAAGATGTGTGGGATGAGCCTAGAACATCTTGTGCCAGAAGGCAGAAAAGTGCTCAAAGAATGATGGAAACATGTCACAGGGACACAGAAGCCAACTGGAAGGGCTCTCAGTGGCCAAATAGAAGACAAATTGAGCATCAGAATGAAAAATGACAGTGGGGAGTTTTGATCTATTAAATAAAACAGAAAACTCTGAGTTCATTTTCATGTAAATAAAAGAATGATTAAAAATTGATGAGAAATGGGACATTTAAATAGGTTATAATTATATATAAACATTTATTAATTACAAAAGTTAAAGAAAGGAATTTTAGCCTGAAAACTGGAAGATACCACCTTGGCTAAGTGATCAAGGTGAACATTATGAGTAATGGACCAATGTCAAAATCATGTTCCTCCTGATAGGTTAGAGAGAATAGAACATCACTTCTGAGATACTCCTATCAAGGATGTACACCGTGAGTCCAGCTACAAGTAAATACTAAAGAAACCCATGTTGCGGGACCTTCTACAAAATCACTCTTCTCTAACTTCATGAAGGTCAAGGGAAAGCTGAGGAGCTACTCCAGACTACAGGAAACTAAAGAGACGCCACAGCTAAATCAACCTTGTGACTCTGAACGGCATCCTTTGCCGTCATGAGACAGAGGATCCAACCTGAACGTGGCCTGAGGCTCAAAAGGTGGTGATGCACCCATACTAATTTCTTGATTCTAACAGTTACATGTGGGCCTGTTCTTGTTTTAAGGAAATGCAAACTGATGTATCTGGGGAGGACAGGGTATTGATTGTGTTGCCAACTTACTCTCAAGTGATTTGAGGAAAAGTTGTTCAGATTATATGTATAACTTTTCTATATATTTAGCATTGTTCTCAAAGTGCAAAAATAATTTATATTACTGAAAAAGATGAGAACTACCAAAAAAATCTTCCAGTCATAAAATTCTGTGAGTCAATAGATCCTCAGAAAAGAAATTTCTAAAAGACACACTTCAGGAGAAAATAAAAACTATTTTCCAGGAATGCTCTGAGTTGCAAGAAGGAAATGTTAAAAAAAAATCCACTGGTAAGAATGTGACTAAATCTATACTCACACAGACTGTATAAAACGGTACAGAATGCATTTCATTTGGTGGTTAGAATAAAAGAAATTACAGCTAAACTTCTGGACAAAATTAACATATTAAGTAGAAGGAGTGCAACTGGATTTAAGCTGCCTAAAGCCCTTGTAATGCACAAGAGAGGCTAGCCATATTAAATTTACATCTCGTTAAGTATGTATGTTAAATTTTTTATAACTAACAGAAGTAGGAAAACCACCAGTGGGTCTTTTCCATTAACCTGGTGTTTATTAAACTGCTGCTCATAAATGAAATTCAAGAGTTCCATGAATATCTGAGTAATACAGATGGAATATATGTATGATTATATTTACATTTTTAAGAGTGTCCATTAATCATAAAAATTTTGACGATGTGAGTGACAGCTGCCATAACTATGAATCATTAAACTAGACTAAATTCTATAAGAAAAGGGTCATTGTCAATTTTATTCTGCCTCTCATACTGTTACCTATTTTTGAGAGCCTGATAGAACAAATGCATTCAAGGTATTAGGCATCTGTGATAATATTTACACATTTTTACTTGTTAAATTTGTTAGCCCATCTCTGATGATGAGGAAGTGACACGAGAGATTTTCACACAGTAGGCAGAATGAAGAACGTCCTTGTCACACAGCCCCTTGTCAGTCTGGGAGTAAGATCAAAGTCTGTCGAGGCAATACCTTTGCCTCTTTGGAACTTATCCCACCACTTCGATGGCTAACCTTGGACTCTTTCTACAGAAACTGTGTACCCCTGGCCTTTAGCTCCTTTCCTTAAGCCATTTTCATGGCATCTTGTTTGGATATCTGTGGCTGATTTTGTTCTATCCTTGTTTCTTTCTTTCTGCCACCTTTTTCTTACTGTTTTCCAGGAAGCCATGCTGTGTCTCCATAACTTTGCCACCAGCAGCATTGGAGCACTCGAGTTCTAACTGAGTTTCTGGGTCTGTCCCCATCCAAGCACTCACAGGCACGGCCCATTAGCTTGCTGAAAGTGCCTACTGTTTGGTCCTAGATTAGCTTCAATCGCCGTCTCTTACATGATATAACATGCAGATTACATTTGTTTTATAATGAATAAAGGTCCCCTGTAATCACTGTATGAAAAAAAAAACAAATAATTTGTCCCAGAGTATTGTCCCTTTTGTAATTTGCCACTGAAAGGAATATTCAGAAACGTGAGGCAGCCTAGCATTCAAGTGGGCTCAGTATTTTGACAACCCAGTGAGGGAAATGAAACACCGGCAGCTCTTAGTCAGCCCATGACCCTTCAGCAGAAAAACACGAAATAGTCAAGAAGCCCATTCCTCTTTCCCGTTTCTTTCTTACTGTATAAATGTAAAGGATGAAATGACGGATTCTGCCTTCTCTGAAGTGTGTCCTTGTATCTCTTAAAACCGAATAGTCTAGGAACCATGAATACAAAACAGTAAGAATTGACCTATGATGCATACTTCAGTTATCATGAGATCTCATCTGGCATTATTGTTGTTAGTATTACGAATTCATCCTATCCTTGTGTCCCCTTTTCTTTTATTTACTATCTGCACTTTTTTCCCCTTAGGTACCCAATCAGAAACTACACAAAACAGACAAAATAAAAGCTCATTAGTTTTCGTTGTTCCCACTGGTAGTATATCGAAATTTCAGTGCCATGTTCACTGACAGCCATAACAAGGCCTGATGCAAAGATCACCATTTAAACACGCCTTTCATATGATTTCCCATTTTCTTAGGTCTACTGATTCACTGCATTGTTTTGCAACACTCGTCTCCTGCAGTTATTCTCATTTGATCTCATTCTCTGTTTTCTAAATTAATGTAACCTAAAAATCAAATAAATCGAATAGATAAATGGCTCAGTAAAATATTTTTTGTTAATGTCCTAAGAGTTGTTTGTTTGTTCTTTCACATCTGGTATTGGTAGTGATTATCCTCTATTCCCTAGTTAAATTCATGGAACATGTTTTTAAGAAACTAATTCAAAATGTATATTTGACTGGACAAATTCTCATTGCTTTTCCCACACGGGTGTTTGCTGACATCATAGCAGTCTGTACTGTATGTTTGAACAGCCTGTTTGTACATGTGCACACTTCCTGTGGTGATGGACTCACTACCTCTTGCGCTGCGAGGCCCTCTGAGAGTAAGGGAGGTCTCAAGACAAAGACTTGAGTTGTGCAATTGCAAACATTACAAACATCTTTCATGCAATAAAACTGTAAGAAATAAGAAAGAAAAACACAAGGAACCTGAATAAATATGAGAAATATAAGTGAATTTGAGCATCTTTTCATATGAAACTAGAGAAATGAATATCAAAACAGCAGAGGCTTATTTTTCACACCTCAGATTGTGAAAATTAAAATATGACCACGTTGTCACAGTAAAACTGAAACACACTCATACTGCTTGTTGGAATGCAAACTGGTACAACCTTTGAAAAGGAAGTTGACAATATCTAACAAAACCACATTATGCACTTACCTTTTAATGCTGCTTTCCCCTTCTAGGAATCTACCCTGAAATATTTAACAATTCAAAATACATGTCCACAAAGTTAATTATTGCACAATTGTTTGTAAGTGCAAAATGATAGTAGAAACAATATCAATGCCTGTACGTTGGAGAAAAGAAAACTAAAATATAATGTATTCATGCAATGAAACACTATGCAGCTCTAAATAAATTACGATGATTCCTATGAACAAGTATGGAGTTATTTCCAGAACATGTTGTCATACACACACATACACACACACACACACACACACACACAGAGATAAATCAGAAACTATTAAGGAAGTGGAAAAATGGGGAAGGAAAGAAAACAGCGTAGAAAAAGGAGAGGGCAGTAGTATTTCTAAGAAGATACATTTTTGAATGGTCCTGGATTACATGAGTGTAGAGAAATATATATTTATATTATAACTGTGGGCCTGGCAGAAACATTCTCACCAGAGAATAGAGCCAGAGCCTATGCATATTAGAACTTTGAAAACTTCTGTTTCTTTGTTGTTGTTCGTTTTTCTCCCCAATGATTTGTTTCACCACGAATGACTAAGGATGTAAACTGTGAAACAATGGCTCTCACTGGTGCTGTCCCAGAAAAGAAAAGCACCTTCCTTTCTGTTCAAAATAGCTTGCACTCTCCATTAAAGAGAAAGCCCTGGAGTGTGAGGCAGGGGCAGATCCACGCACTAAGAGAGGGAAGGCCTTGTAGTATAGTTTGAAGTCAGGTAGTATGATGCCTCCAGCTATGTTCTTTTGACTTAGGACTGTCTTGGAGATGCAGGCTCTTTTTTGGTTCCATATGAACTTTAAAGCAGTTTTTTCCAATTCTGTAAAGAAACTCATTAGTAGCTTGATGGGGATGGCATTGAATCTATAAATTACCTTGGGCGGTATGGCCATTTTCACGATATTGATTCTTCCTATCCATGAGCATGGTATGTTCTTCCATTTGTTTGTGTCCTCTTTGATTTCACTGAGCAGTGGTTTGTAGTTCTCCTTGAAGAGGTCCTTTACATCCCTTGTAAGTTGGATTCCTAGGTATTTTATTCTCTTTGAAGCAATTGTGAATGGAAGTTCATTCATGATTTGGCTCTCTGTTACTGGTGTATAAGAATGCTTGTGATTTCTGCACATTAATTTTGTATCCTGAGACTTCGCTGAAGTTGCTTATCAGCTTAAGGAGATTTTGGGCTGAGACAATGGGGTTTTCTAGATATACAATAATGTCATCTACAAACACGGACAATTTGAGTTCTTCTTTTCCTAACTGAATACCCTTGATTTCTTTCTCTTGCCTGATTGCCCTAGCCAGAACTTCCAACACTATGTTGAATAGGAGTGGTGAGAGAGGGCATCCCTGTCTTGTGCCAGTTTTCAAAGGGAATTTTTCCAGTTTTTGCCCATTCAGTATGATATTGGCTGTGGATTTGTCATAAATAGCTCTTATTATTTTGAGCTACATTCCATCAATGCCGAATTTATTGAGCGTTTTTAGCATGAAGGGCTGTTGAATTTTGTCAAAGGCCTTTTCTTCATCTATTGAGATAATCATGTGGTTTTTGTCTTTGGTTATGTTTATATGCTGGATTACATTTATCGATTTGCGTATGTTGAACCAGCCTTGCATCCCAGGGATGAAGCCCACTTGATCATGGTGGATAAGCATGGTACTGGTACCAAAACAGAGATATAGACCAATGGAACAGAACAGAGTCCTCAGATATTTCTGATATTACCACACATCTACAGCCATCTGATCTTTGACAAACCTGAGAAAAACAAGAAATGGGGAAAGGATTCCCTATTTAATAAATGGTGCTGGGGAAATTGGCTAGCCATAAGTAGAAAGCTGAAACTGGATCCTTTCCTTACTCCTTATATGAAAATTAATTCAAGATGGATTAGAGACTTACATGTTAGACCTAATACCATAAAAACCCTAGAAGAAAACCTAGAGTAATAGAAATTCAGGACATAGGCATGGGCAAGGACTTCATGTCTAAAACACCAAAAGCAAGGGCAACAAAAGTCAAAAGATTGACCAGTGGGATCTCATTAAACTAAAGAGCTTCTGCACAGCAAAAGAAACTACCATCCAAGTGAACAGGCAACCTACACAGTAGGAGAAAATTTTGCAATCTACTCATCTGACAAAGGAGCTAATATCCAGAACCTACAAAAGAACTCAAACAAATTTACAAGAAAAAAAAACAACCCCATCAAAAAAGTGGGCAAAGGATATGAACAGACATTTCTCAAAAGAAGACATTCATACAGCCAAAGACACATGAAAAAATGCTCATCATCACTGGCCATCAGAGAAATGAAAATCAAACCCACAATGAGATACCATCTCACACCAGTTAGAATGGCAATCATTCAAAAGTCAGAAAACAACAGGTGCTGGAGAGGATGTGGAGAAACAGGAACACTTTTACACTGTTGGTGGGATTGAAACTAGTTCAACCATTATGGAAAACAGTATGGCGATTCCTCAAGGATCTAGAACTAGAAATACCATATGACCCAGCCATCCCATTACTGGGTATATACCCAAAGGATTATAAATCATGCTGCTATAAAGACACATGCACATGTATGTTTATTCTTGGCACTATTCTAATAGCAAAGACTTGGAATCAAATGTCCATCAGTGACAGACTGGATTAAGAAAATGTGGCACATATACACCATAAGAATGCTATGCAACTATAAAAAGGATGAGTTTGTGTCCTTTGTGGGGACATAGATGCAGCTGGAAACCATCATTCTCAGCAAACTATCACAAGAGACAGAAAACCAAACCTTCGCATGTTCTCACTCATAGGTGGGAACTGAACAATGAGATCACTTGGACTTGAGAAGGGGAACATCACACACTGGGGCCTATCATGGGGAGGAGGGCAGGGATTGCATTGGGAGTTATACACAGTGCTAAATGACGAGTTGATGGGTGCAGCACACCAACATAGCACAAGTATACATATGTAACAAACCTGCACGTTATGCACATGTACCTAGAAGTATAATAATAATAATAATAAAAATAATTAAAAAAAAAAAAAAGAAAAATAAAGGCCAAAAGATGTCCACATCATGATGCCTGAAAACTGTGGATGCATTAATTTATCCAGCAAAGGAGGATTAAGGTTGCCAATGCCATTCACTGATGAGCTGACCATAAAATAGGGATGGTATCTTGGATTATCCAAGTGGCACCAAGGAAATCATCACAAGCCTTTAAAAGTGGAAGAGCAAGTCAGAATAGGAGGTTGGAGTGACACAATGTGAGAAAGACTCAACCAGCTATAACTGGCTTGAAGATGAGAAGAGACCAGGACCTCTATATAAGCTGAAAAATTAGAGAATTGATTCTCTTCTAAGAGCTTCTAGAATTGAACACAGACCTGCTGCCATCTTGATTTTAGCCCAGTGAGTCCCATGTCAGATTTTTAACCTCTAGCATCATAGAATCATAAGTTGGCATTGTTTTAAGCCCACACAATTTGTGTAGTTGTTCAACAGCAATCTAAAACCCATATAATGATTTGTCCTCTATGAGTGTTTTATTTTCATTACACTTTAGAAGGCACAGTCTTTCCTTTGACAACCATAAAACCTGCCTGATTTTTAATCTTTCTCCTTGATTCATTTGTGAAGTAAAATAGAACTGTGTTATGAAAAATGCTGATGGAATTACTCCTCCAAATTCATCCCCGAAAGTGTTTAGTCTTAGAAATATTTCAACTCTCTGATTTGTATTCTCTCACTGCTCTTCAGCAGACCTGCTTTGAGATTCCTTGGACTGAGAAAGTTGATGTGTAAAGTAGATCAGTTCCATCAGTCATTACTAATGAGCATTTCTTATACGCCCAAGCCCCCAGAAAAATAATGGCCAAGAAATCTATAGCTTACATTGGGAAGACAGAATTATCATAAATGAAACTGTTAGGAAACAAGTGTTAAAACACACGTAGACTAAAAAAATATAATGTAGAGGGAAAAGAAGTACTTTGAATCCT